TAATAATGAATAAAGAAAAAAATTAATTTCAATATTTTTGTTTGCTCTTTTTTCTTATTTTAATATGTGAACAAGAGGAATTCACTTAGCACATCAAAATATTTTTTGTGTATAGTGAGTGAAGCGGCATCACTTTTTCATTTTTCTCTCGTATACATATTCATATGCACTTTATATATATATGTATATATGTATGAGGACATAAATTTCATATATCTTTTATTTTGAATTTTCTGTCTTTTTCTTATTATTATTTACTTTCTTTTATTCAAATGTAAATTTAAAATTTAAAAAATTCAAAATATTTTCTTTTACATGTAATAAATTTTATAAAATGCATAAACACAACATTTATTATTAATATTTACAGGGTTGTTCTGAAAGTATAGCATTATTTATATTTTGCGGTAATTATATTTTGGTAAAGCAACCAGACTTATTTTTATTGTTTCATCAAATGCCAATTCTAAAATGAAAATTTAATACACAATATTTCAAATAACAATGAGAGAAATTGGAAATGAATAATGCACAAAGAGGCTATTTTTATGTTTTAAATCAATTTATTTACAAAGTAAATTTAGTCTTACAAATAGTTCCTTCGAAATAAAGAAGGACTATTAACTCTAATATATAAGTACACATGTCGTCTGTCAAGAGCGGAATTATCCAAAATTGAAAATTGGAAATTATTTAGGAGAGAAAATTAAAGATACAAATTTAATATCTATATTGCGTATATTGTTCATTTTTCTTGGAAGACAGATTTGAACGATATATACTTGAATTAGTTTTAGATAACAATCCTATGTCCCCACTCCACATAAATAAGATATATAATATGTGGACATAGGATTATTTCCAGCAAACAATTTTTAAGCCGACCTATGGATATTTTAGCGAAAAAGTTTAAGCTCCTTAACTGTATAGTCGAAATTCTTCTCTTGTGTAACAGAAATTTGAATAGAATTGTAAAAAACTTGAAATCAATCTCAAAAATTTTAGATTCTTGATTAATATTGTGTATATAATCATTATAAAATTCAAAAACAACCTGTAAAAACCAAAAAACCACACGAAATATATCTATATGAGTATTATGCAAATTATAGTATTAAAAATTATGTAAAAAAAAAAAAAAATATTTCAGGAATCAATAAAGTCAATTTTTTCAATCATTCGTCTACAAATTAGAGATGGCATGTAGGAGTTTTGTAAATAATGAAAATTTTGATTCGTGTGTACATATTTGAAATAACATTATGTACCTATGAATGGAACGGAAAAAACATATTGTGTACATATATAGTATATATGTATAATATGTTTCCATATACCAGTTTGTATATGAATATGTACAAGGAATACCTCTTTTATAATAACTCCTCTTATATACTATATTATTTTGTAATTGTGAGGCATACTATACATGATATGTAGGTAATTATGTTAATTTCATATATTTACGTTCATAAACAAGAAAATTTATAATTTTTTACATATTTTTTTTATTTTGATTTTCTTTCAATATTTCCTTCTTCTATACATTATTTTCTAGATTTGATTTCAATTTCATTTTCGATATACGTATAGATAGTACATATATACATATTACATTCCGATATAACTGTAGATTTATTTTAAAATGTTACATATGCGATTCTCTGAGTGACTCGGTATAGAGAACACCATTTTTTTAAATTGAATTACAAATTGACTTCTATGTTATTATTGCACATTAAGAAGAGTGTACAATAATATTATGGTATATGTATATATAGAAGAGTAATATACTAGTGTTTGCTAATGAAAATTAATTTTAAACGATCAAACTAAAAATATTCTTAATAAATTATTATTAAGTTGATCGATTGTTACATTTAGAGAAATTATTTTGAACAAAATTTACAAACTATACCGAAATCACTGCCTGGTTAGTGATACCGGAAACAGGACAGTACCAAAATTATATTTAAACATATATTTTAAAAATATAAAAATCAAAGGCAACCCCCATTAAATAATGCAATCAAACAATTAAAATGTTTCTGTTGTTTTTTTAAAATATTTCCTGACTAGTGATGTAGTACAAATTTTGTGCATATTGGTAACAATTTTTGAACGGTAAGTAAAATGTTTTTTTTGTAAAGTAGAAAATTTGACTTGTACAATATTTTTAAAAATTTGTTTGACGCATAATTTTTTAAAACTTGTATGATGGAAAAAAAGACATTTATTTCATGTATTAAAATGCAAGCAAAATAATTTTGCATAAGTTTAGGATGCAATAAAAATTTTAAAACAATGCTCCAATAAGAATTAATTTAGATTGCCGATATAACTAAATTAGGAATAAAATGTAGATTTTTTTGAATAATTAGGCAGTTACTCTTTGCATTTTGCGCATTTTGCCTATTACAGAAATTCAGTGTTAATTGTAGTGGATATAGAGGATAATTGTAGTGGATATCGAAATGATATAGAGGATCAAAAAATAATTAAGCAAAATGAAACTATGAACAAAGATAATGATTCATAAACAAATTATTGTTCATGATTTTACTTCAACTTTTATTTATTTTCCGAAAAAAAAGTGTTAGATTTTACTATCAGTTGACTCTTTTTGCGATTGGATGCTTGTTTCAGCGAAAATTTCAGAATTTTAAGTTGAAGCTTTTTAACCGTATTTACTTCCAACTTGAATTAAAAAATTTGTCATCTGTAGCTATGATATAATGAGATTAAACAATTCAACCTAAAAGTAACCTGAAACAGCTCGATTAAATTTAGCTCGAGTTGAATTTAACTCAAACTATAATTATAATTGCAGTATAAAAACCAGCATGAGCTACAATTTTCACAAAATCGTAACTATGATTGTCCAATTAAGTTGCGAAAAGAATTCAAAATCGTTTCATTTTAAATAGCATCATCAAATCATTCTGGTACAATTAGTATGCATATACATTAACGTTACAACCTTAAGCTTTAATAAAAAAAAAAAGGCATCACATTACCATTTTCATAATTTTAATTGAATGCTTACAAAATTTAATTTTGAACTATGTTAAAAACTGAGAAAAATTGCACAACATTTTGATATAACCAATAATTTAATTCAGATTTTATGATTTTTAATTGATAAAAACTAAAAAAAAAAAAGAAAGAAAACAAATTTACTTTATTGGAATTTTTAAAGCAGTAGCAAGCACGTATACAAAAGCAACAGGAATATTAACTGTGGATAGAAATGACAAAATGCGAAAGTATACACACATGCGAATGAGTGTGATAAAAACATTAAGAACATAATTATTTATCTATAGTATGTAAGTATATGGTATATATTTTTTTATTTAGATAAAAATTGTAAGTAGATAGGTACTTGATTCCTTTAAGCAATTTTCTTCTTACTATAATAATAATAACTATTAAAATTACAGACATGTTTACAACAGCTGAAATCATATTGAATTGATAAAGTGAGCTACTTAAAGAGTTTGCTATTAAAATACTGTCATATAAGTGTAAATAAATAACAATTAACACCTAAGGACATTTAAAAAAATATATTAATAGTAATTAGTTGCAAAGTTAACAGCAATGTAAAAAAAACTTATTACGGTATTATTTTATAATTTACTTGTATATACAATCTATAATATATGCATATTAATTTAAATTTTACTGCAACTATATGACTGGTATATTACAAATTATAAAAAAAATTCAATCAAAAAGTTTGTTTAACCATAATTTTATTGAATAAACGGGCAGTAATTATCCATCACATACCTACTTTTCTGTCTGCATTACACACATACCGTAACAAACGTAACATTTTGCAAACGTAATTGCAAAGTTTGCAAAAACAAAGCAATTGCAAGCTATGCTTTTATAAAACCGAGTCTTGTTGCTTTCCAAAAATAATGCATTACATTTTTTGCAATAAAGAACATTTAAATAGGGTAAAATTTTTTAATGACATATAAGCCGGTAATACTATATGTTATGGATCTTCTAACTTACATATTAAATTCACAAAGTAATCAAGTGTAATGCACGACTCCACTATGATGTCGAAGTAGTTTAATAAATCTTCCTTTAATTCATACATGCAGCTGATTTTTGCTTAATTATCCTTTGCAATCCAAGAGCCCAAATTTTTTCTACAAAGTTACTTAATATCAAAGTCAACATAAACTTTTATATAAAATCTACTATGTAGAATGGTAGAATTCAATAAAATTTTTCTAAATTCCTCAAAAATAAATTAACTTTGAATTAATTTAATTAACAAATATGTAGGTATATATATTTATATAATATGGGTATATAAATTCATTAGAATATGATTAAGTTGTCGAAAAATTTTAACTTATAATTGAATTTTAATATAAAAGCGATTCATAATCTAGAATAAAGATTTGAATCTCGTAAATGCTTGGTTATCTACAACCAAAACTCTATATTGGTTTTTCGAAAGAAATTCGATTGTTACAACTTGCTTTGCTGAATATTTGGTAAATTACAAAAAGTTAATGTATTTGTTTTTAAGGTTATTTTCTGCGTTATATATGTATCTAAAATATATTATATGTATACATATTCAATGTTTTACCTATTCATGTTTGATTCGTTACTGGGATCGTGCCAAATAACTAAGATTCTAATTTTGTACTTTTCATAGAGTACATATTTATACATATATAAAACGTACACCATCATTATCATTTTTATTCATTAATTCATTTTTTGAAAGGCTCTTAGATAGCATTTATTTTAATGAACAAATTTCCATGTTGTCAAATTACCAACTGCATTAAATTTCGATTGGCTTGTGTTAGAAAATTATTTTAAATAGATACCTTTTTGGATAGCAAAATTTCCAAATCTATTTGTTTATTTGTAATTTTTTACGATGTCTTCGTAGGTATTTACTAACACATTTTTTTAGCTCTAAAAAAATCCTACATCTTAAATAAAAAAATTTTTACGCGTTTCAGGATAACTTTGTATTAATATACTTTATTAATTTTCCAAGATTTTATAAATTATATCCATCACTTTTTATTTTTTTTTTTTTTTTGGAAATTTATGTTGCTCGAAAATCATCCCAAGTAATTTATTTAAAAACAATCTTAGTAGCCTAATGTGGTTTTCTTCTGAATGAGCATCCTAAAAAAAATTTCGTTTCATGTTTTATTAATAAAATTTACTACTTATGTATATACTTTCAATTTACCTTCTGTTAATTTTGATCGTCCCCCAGTTGGTTGACATAAAATTGTGGAACATCCAGCACATACTACTACGCCTTGGGCATGACTAAAAACTGTTGTAATTTTATAGCAACCAGGGCACTTTACATCCATGAAATACGAATTTGGATGTTGTACTAAACGTTTAAGTTTATGTTTACGCTTCTCTGAAGCAGGACTCGGATGAAGTAAATCAATCGCTAACTATAATGTAAAAATAATTTCACAATTAATGGAAATAGCTAAAAATATATTTCTATGTAAATTGCAAATAATAAAACTATGAAATCACAACAAAATTAATTTAAAAATTTATTTTGGCAACTCTATGATTGATAAATTTTGGATTTCTATATAATTTTTTTTATTTTTTGAAACGTATGTATTATCGCCTGACACATTGTATATTTCGGACTCTTAAACTTTCACACATTGTAATATTTATCTTAATTTCTCAAACAAAATCGAAGTTCCCCGCCACGATTTTTTCCGAATTTCAAAACCCCAATATAGAATTAAGATTTTTAAATCACTTTGTTGCAATAATTTCATTTCTAAATATATTATTTTAAATAATTTTAATAAAATTTCTACACACCGGCATGTTTACTTTTTGACAGCTCGCACGGAAAAGGAAGTAATGTTGCTTAGTGCTGCCATATTAAATATTATTTTACGATAATGCAGTACGTTTGACAACTTCAAGAAACTGACAATACACTGCGTCGCCATGTTTATTTTTACATATGTAGATCGCACTTAACTGTGCGTCGGAAAAAAATAAATTCAAAAATTACTCTCTCTAGTAAAAGACCAAATTTAAATTACAAAATAATGCCCATTTTTCTTTTTAATAAATACCTAGCTCTGTAAACGTTTACAGTGAAGTGAGAGTTTTTTTAAATGCTACATAAAAGTATTGGTATTTTTATTAAAAATTATTAAATACCTTTTTTCTATATTCAATTTCTTGTATCAATATTGTAAATAAACTTGGTTGGCAATGTGAAAGCTGTCAAAGTACTCAAACGCAGTTTTTTTTTCAAGGAAGTGATTACTTTGCTTATTTCGCATAAAAAAACTTTTCAAATCAAGCAACAGACGATTGCAATGCTGACTGGTTTAAATAGAAGATTAATCATTTCTTTTCATAATTGTTTACTTGTATTTCTTAAAAAATCTTAATTTACAAAAATATCAATTATATAATATTTATACTTTGACGAAACAAAATATTTCTGACAGTTGTGATTTATATACAGACATATGTGCAAGCTATGCATGAGCGTTTGTCTTTTAGGTAGTGCCTAACTTAATTTCACATTTAGCGTTAAATTTTTTTTTTTTTTTTTTGACATATTCTACCTTTGTAATTGCTATTGTCCATGGAACTATTGTGTCAATGGTTGATAGGCGCTTCAATTCTCCTTACCCACAAATAAATTATAAATTGGAAAGGAACGTACGGTTTAACTATTAGCGCAAAACTAAAATCGTGCCAATTGATTTTAATGAGCTGAATCGAAAAAAAATAATATGGGAAGCTACAGTCAACCAAAGGCAATATATTTGGGCTTAAATTCTGTCTAAGAAGTATAATTCATTATAATGCATTTAGAATTTTATTCTAATTTAGAAAAATATGTCACGTAATCATTTTTCCCTTAATTTATTCAATAAATTTTTACAGATAAAAAATAATATTAATCTTGTAAGTATATTAATTTGCGTGCTTTGGTTTTTGGCCCTAACAATATGAATGTCAAAAATTGTTTCTTTCCTAATTGTTTCTGTTGGTATGTGGCGAAGTTTTCTTAACAACATAATTTTAAAAACCCAAACAAACAAAAGTTGATCCTTTTTTATTCATAAAATATTTAAAAATCATTGAAAAATTAATTTAATTATAATGCAAACAAAATATAAGTTGTTCGGATATGACGAACATTAATAATTTTACAAAAGTCATAGAAGATTCCGCTGGCGAAAAAAAAGTTGTTTTGGATATAAAAAGTGGTGCAGGTAAAATATTTCTATTGCTGGTAAGGTATGCAAATCAGAAAATTCTAAACTGGAAACTTGAAAAAAAGCATTAATATAAAAATAAAATAAACATAAATCTAAAAAAAAATTACCAATTTGAAAAAACTTTCAAATAAACTCACAAGAATATTTTTGCCTTTGTTTTTAATTCTTCAATGCTTTTTAAAAAAAAAAATGACGTATATATTTTGAAAAACATTTGGGGGGGGGGATGAAAAAAATTTGCATTCAAAAAAGCCGGTTTCTGAAAAAAAGTCTAGATTTGTAATGCAATCAAAAATTCGTTATTTCTACTTGAATTATTGAAAATTAGAGGAATAATTGATTTTTATTAAAATTAAAAAATAAAGTAAAAATATAAATATTAAAATACATATTTTATTTTAGTTCAAATATTCCGTCCATTGGAGAAGCAAGAAAAGTATTTTGAAGTGCAAAAGAAAAAAAGTAGAAAGAAGATGCCACACACAAATATTGCAAAATTAATATATGCTGCTCCGACTCCTAAAAACACTCCAACAAAAACAAAAACTAAAACAAATTACCATAATATGAAAAGTTCTAGGAAGCTATTTAAAGAAAAAAATGTGGGTGACTGTAAAATGTCAACAAGTCGATCAAATTCTGCTATTAATAAAATTGTGGAGAACAAACAAATTGTAGATACAAAACCAAATCTTGACAATAATTCTGTAGAATGCGTTAAGAATGTGAAGGATGCCGAACCTTTAGAATCCCAATTTTTTGCACAAAAAGTCGAAAGGAATGAAACAAATAAAAACAATTTCGTTGAGAAAATCATCCAGGATGAAAATTTCAATAAACAACAAAAAAATCCAATATTGGAAAAAATGGAAACAATTGCAAATCAAACTAAACCTGAAATATTTCATGAAAAACAGCTCGTGGAAAACTCATTGAAAAGTAATAAAATGGCAAATATTACAAATGAAATTCAAAATGGCAATGAAATAACAAAAGATAATATTGGTGTTGAAATTTCTCCAAAAAAATCATTGAGTACATTTCGGGTTCCTAAATTAACAAATAAACCAAAAGAGAACAATCCACAGAATAAAAAGAAGTTCTACAACCCTGAAGAAGCAAAACAATTTATTAAAAATCAAAGAGATAAGTGGAAGGCAGAAGAAAAAGCGACAATATTAAATAAAGAAAAAATCGATAAAGAAGAAATAAAACGACGGTTGGATGAACTTCATAAAAATACTTTAAAAATTTTAAAAACAAATTTAAAGAAGGGTAAAAAGCGTAGTGCTCCTAAATCAAAACAAAATTCCGGAAAGTGCAGTAGTCCTATTAAAACTAGAAAGTTCAATGAAACCGAAAAGGGGTGTATTTCAAATTTTTTAACAGCCAGATCTGATAGATCCACGATTTCAAAGAAATCGGATAACGCAAAAATGTTAGATGCTAAAAAATGGAAATATTTTTCAAAAGCTGATATTAAATTAAATGAAATTGATTCACAAAACAGAATTGGATTGCTCAGAAAAGCTGATAGTAGCGAAATTTCATTCACCAATATTAAAGACTACGACATAGCAAAAGAAAATGAAAAATTAGAATCTTTGATCAATTCTAAATTGAATTTAAAATCAGATTGCTTAGTTCCATACAATGAAAACGATAAAATCGTCCCTCAAGGTGAAATATTAGATTTAAAATTTGATACATTGACAAAACAGCAAACTGAACATAATAATCTGCTTCAAAAGGAAAATCAGATCACATGTAACGAAAACTTGTTGGAAATAACTGATATTAGGAAAAATAACTCAAATATTGCAGATAAAGATTTAAAGGATATCGAAATTCAAACTTCACTTCAGGTACCAAACGTTAAACTTGAATCTAGATTTTTAAGAAGCAAATCAGTTCATGTACAAGTGCCGCATGAAAACAATAAAGAGAATATATCCGTTGACAAAACTGTAAATAAATCGGATGAAATTCCGTATTGGTTAAAACCAACGGCTGTTGAAATTTATCCATATAATTTTATTACAGCTGTTCGGAAGAAATTGGAAGCTTTAACCAATCCAGTAATTCAACGACCTCAAACTCATCAAAGAAAAAATAAAAACCTTTATAAAACTAGAAAATCGAATGTTTATCAAGATACACCACTCTCTCATTTAAAACACGATAAAAATAATGTGCGTAGGCGTATCATAAATAACAATTCAAGTTCCTCAAATACCAAACACTCTTATTCACAAGGTTTTAGTGTAAATGGTTTAAATGAGGAAAACGGTCTAAATTCAAATAATGAAAAATCCAATAGTTTTTCGGAAATAGTGTCCAATTTTAGTTCCATATCCCTGCATGTTCCGGAATCCAATACAATATCGGACATGAGTTCTCTTAAAAGTGATGTTGCATCAAAAGCAGAAGATAAACAATTTCTTAGTAGTACTAAAAATGATAATATCTCTAATAAGGATTTCAGTGCGAATGATGATACAACAATTTCTTCTTCGGTAAATTTATTGAATGACTATGTTGTTTTTTATTTTATTGTATTTTTTGTTATTTTTTTCTCTTTTCAATATTTTAGGTATTTTCTAGTCCGGAGAAAAAAATTAATTTTATTGAAGTAAAACAGCCAAAAGAAGCTGAAAATATTTTATCAGAGAAAACGAATTCAATAAGTCCATTATCTCTGGAAAATATAACTAACCTACAAGTAAAATCCAAAAGATCAGAAATTAAAAAAGTAATAGATGAGGACTTGTCGATTCCGAATTTAAATTTGAAATTAAATCTTAAAGGAAAGTCTGAGCAAAGTAATGACATTAAAAGCTCTAGTCAAAAGCAAGAAAAATTATTGGAACTTGATCAGTTATTAAATAATTTTAACAAAAGTCTTTCACAAGTTATAGAAGTAAACAATCAACTTAAAAATACATTAGATAAATCACAAAATATGTTGAGTCCGAATTCAAAAAGGAGCTTGAATCATAATCTGAATGAAATTCCAGTATTATCTAAACCATCTGCGACTAGTTTTACCACAGGAGGCGATTACACTTCTGATTTTGAAGATGATGCTTCCAATACTACATTAAAATCTGTTCAACTAAAACAAAATTTTAAAAATCTAAATAACAAATCAATATCTGAAGGTAATATTACATATGAAGAAATAAAACCAACAAAACTAGAGAAAAGAAGTGCTAAATCAGAAGAGTCGTCAAAGCAAAATGTACATGCTGTAGAATTAAATCCAAAAAGTAAATTTGAAGTAACAATCGAGCAGTCTTTAAAATCGGACAATAATGTACAAAATATAACGGAATCAACTATTACAGAAGATATTTCTGAAATTGCAATTGAAGAAAGTGCTAAAAATGAAAACAATAATAAATCAGAAAATTCAATAAGATCTGTTCAAGATTTGCATTCAATGAAGGATAGTAAATTAAAAAATAATTCCGAAGAAAAATTGAAATATCTCGAAAATCATATAAATACCACTCGTGGGAATGACAGTGCTTTTAATGAACTTCCTCTTAATGGTGACAATATTATATGTACGAATGTAAAAACTTCAGAATCAGAGAAAAGTACTGCACCTCCAGTTTATTCAATTGAAAGAAAATTTGAAAAGAAAACTCAATATTTAGATTCATCTATTGGAAGTGAGTTTATAGCCGTCTATAATAAGTCTGATGTTGAAATTTCAATGTTCCTACAAGATGACAGTAGAAGTGTGGCAAGTGAAGCAACATTAAATTATTCTAGCATAGGAATGGTAAATATGCAAATACATAATATTATGAAAAAAATTTTTAAATTTTGGTTTCTTTTAAGTATGAACAACTGCTTCAAGCAGAAAACTTAAAATCAGAACAATTAACAGCGTTGTTAAAAATGCGAGAAAAAGTATTAATAGATAGAACAAAGGGCCAAATAGCTTGGTTAGAAATTCAAAAAGAAAAATATAAATCAAAGGGTTTATCAGAACGGATAACAATGATTAAAAAGAAGCAAAGGGCTATTCTCATGAAAATGGAAAAGGAACGAGAAGAAATCAAAAGGTAAAAAGATTTATTAATTTCATTATTAATATTTTATTTTTAAATAAAACACTTGATGTTTTTTTTATTCGCTAAATAAATAAATATTTAGAATTTTTGAAATTCTTTATTTTTTAATTAAAAAAGAATTTAACACCGTTTCACAAATGTAAATTTAAAAATGTTTCTTAACAATTGTGTAAATATTAGTAATGCTTGTATGCTGAATATTTTTTTATGTTATACATGGTTCAAAATAGAATTTGAAAAAATTCAGTCCCCCAATAATTAATCAAATACTCAACTTTAAATTTAATTTAATTGAAATTTTAATTATTTGATATAGGATTATTTAACTCTTCTAAAAATATTCCTCTTTAATATTCTAGAATCTTTCAAAACATTTCGAAAGCATTTAAAATCTTTTGATTTGTTATAAGATATGATTTGACTAATAAATAAAAAGAAAACGAATAGGGAGTTAAAAATAAATAAATAAATTGTTTTGAATTTACTCACGGTATTTAAATATCAAAGAGATAAGATAAGAATATGGAATCACATAGTGAAAATTTTACAACTTGTTACAGTGTAATACATTGCGTGTTAACTTGGTGAGGAATAGGAAGAATAAAAAGAGAAGGAAAAAAAAAACAGTGTACATATTAAATGACTAGATTTTTTAAATATTTTTCAAAACACTATCTAAAATATTGTAAAAAAAATATTTTTATTATTTTTTTTTTAGGTTAATGAATACTCAAGGAAATATATCAAGTAATAGTTCTGCCAGAATTAAAAGTCATCATCAATCTTCTACTTTTTTGAAAACATATAGACCAAAATTATCTGATAGTATATCTAATGTAACAATAAGAAAAGGATTCGCAACAACAATAAGTAAAAGTCAAACTGGAAGTGCTAAAATTGTTCGTGGATTTGACATAGGTGGAAGTGAAAATTTAGAGAAAATATTACGAAAACGTGAGGAGGAATTAAAAAATCGACGTCAACATGTTGAGCATTTAATGGCATGGCATCAACGTCTTGATAAAGAAGAGCAAGAAGTATTCCAATTAGAACAAATGTTATTGGAATGTAATAAAAATAATTGGCAAATATTATCGCCACATGGTGTAGATATCTTAAAACCAATTGCTTCTGAAATAGAATTAAAAAAAGAAAAAAAAATTGCCGAAATTGAAAAAAGTCTTAAAGAATTGCAAAATATTTCTGTTTGCAGTAAAGAAAATCAAAATGTCATAGATCATGTACGTGTATCTGGCCATAAATTAAATAAGTTATGGTCACGATTAACTGGTCAAAAATTAAATAAATTTGAAGCAAATAAGAAATATAAATTAACAAAAGAAGATTTAGAAAGATTTTATGAAAGAGCTAAAGATAAAGTAATTGAGGAATTTAATCGGGAACATAATTTAAATAAATTATTAGAACAATCATCGAACGAGAAAATTTCTAATACAGATATTAATAGCGATAATAATCGTAATGATATTGATTCAATATTAATCCATAGTATTGAAATTCCAAGTTTACATTTAAATTTAAGTTCTGAATCAGATACTCAGCGTTCTCTTAATTCTACATCTATTCAAAATATTCAAAATTATGTAGAAACGGAAGTAAATGAATACAAATTAGATATTACGAGACTCGATATAACTGCTATAGAACAAACAGAAATTGTAACAGTTTCAAGTGAAGCGTTACTTAATCATCAAAAAATAATTTTATCGCATGAATTACCTGAGGAACTTCCTGAAAAAATTGAAAATTTAAATAAACTGGAGAATTTGCAAAGCCAAAAAAATGAAAATACATTAAATAATCATAAAACTATGTCAGAAAATTCTAGCTCTGATATTAGAACAAACATATCTGAAAAAATGGAGCAGTTATTTAATCAAAAGCAGTATACTGAACGAAGTTTGAGCAATATATTAGACGAAACTTATATCTTGAAAAATAGTTCACCAGGTATTTATATTACTACTAAAATTTTCGTTATTAATTTCTGTAATTTATTTTTTTAACCCTTTTAGAAATACAAAGCTCCATAGATGAACAAGTGCCTTCTAAAAGTAGTATTACAGAATTAAATGAAATTTCAGGAGAAATAAAAAGTTCTCAACTTTCATCAGAAACAATTCATTCCGAAATTAATCGGCCAAGTGTTATTGTATCATTAACACAAAAGCTCAATGTCAACGAAACCAAATCTGGATCAAAACCAGTGGAAACATCTTCAATAATAACAAAATTGGAGTCAGAGAATAAATATACACAAATTTTTGAATCTGATTCGTCTTCTAAAGTTTTAAAAAATAAAACACAATCACCAGATCAATCAATTGAAATTGCCAGTGTTTCAACAAATAATTCCACCAAACCACCGTCATCGGTTTCATTAAATGAATTCAATAGTCCTCAAACAAATTCGTCCACAACAATTGAATTGATTTCACCTTCAATTGATAGGCAAACGGTCATATCAAAAACACCAACTATTGAAGAAAAACAAACTGTAGAAAATTCACATGTAGAGAAGAGTTTGGACAAAAGTTATGAAAATAGTTATGAATATGAAAATGATTTTTCAGGATCTGATTTTACAATTTTAGAAGATATATCAATGCCAAAATTTGAAACAACAATGGACACGACTAGAGAGAGTTTCATAACAAAAGATTTAAATTATGCAAATAATATGGAAATCAATAATTCCAATATAAATGACCATCATATAGAAAGTTCTAATAATACCACAGAATTAGAGAAACGGTTAATTGATTTAGATGATAGTTTAAAAGGTTTAAATAGCACAATAGAAAAAGTTTTAAGCCCAGAAGGAGCAGCGAATTCCAAAAAAGGAACACCAAGTTCGAGTAGTGGCTCCACAACAATTTCGCCTGTTTCGGTTACAATAGCAGCGGCGAGCATTGCTACAACTAAAAGTCAATCTACTCTGCTAAATACGGTATCACAACATCAAAATAATACTCTTTCAACAATTATTTCAAATAATCCAAATGACTATGATAAAATTACATTAATGCCAGATATAATTAGTGAAGTTGAAATTCGCAGAAGGCAAAAAATATTAATTGAGAGTGAGGTAGGAAATTAATTTGATTTTTTTTTTTACTTTTAAGAGAAATAAAACTTTACTAAAAATGCATATTTTTAATAAAGATTAAACAATTGGAACATGCTATGCCATATGTTGTTTTCCGTGAAATTCCCAATAAACCGCCTCCACCTTATGTACCTCCGGCACATGGAAGTCCAATGACAACAATATTTCCACCTGAGTCAAGAATCAAAGAGATTACATTTAGAAGAACTGCTGAATTATTTGAAGAAATCTCTAAAAAAACTGGTAAAAAAAAAATTAATAATAATTTTATAAAAATTTTTTTATATTTTTTTAACATAAATTTTAGATAAAAATTCTGAGAAACAAAATTCTAAGGAATCAATTTTAAATGAAAACATTACTAATATATATGAAAGAATTATTCTTGATATATGTAAAGAATGCATGCAAGAATATGAAGAAATATTAAATGATTTAAATCCTGAGTCATACAAAAATCCTCTAGCACTATACAATCCACCAGATAGATTAAATTGCATGCAAGAGTTTATATATAGTCGTGTTAGAAAATTATTGGCAATGGAAAAAAAATGTCAAAGAAAGAGTTCAATATTTTCAATTGGAAGGAAAAAACGTGATCATATTGATGAAATCTTAATACAAGAACTATTTGAAGAAGAATATAAATGGACAAATTTTGATCAAGAAGAGGATGAAGTTAAAATTACAATTGTAGATGAAATACTAAATGGTGTCATTAAGGATGTTGTTATTGAAGCAGTTAACAGAAATAAAAACATCGATGTCACTGATGCAACGAAATTAGATTTAAATAATAAAAATAACGTACAAAATGAGAACAAAAGTCTTAAAGATGCCTAAATGAATATGTACTTAAACTTTTTACATTTAATTTTTAATTTTTTTTTAGAATTATTGTTACGCTTAAGTTTTTTTTTTTATCGCTGATTAACTTTTTCCTTAAAATTTTAATTTTTATAAATTTTCTATGTAATAGTTTAGAAAAGAAGTGCTTTAAGAGAATATTTGCATAATCTACTTATATTTTTATATTTGTAGAATCTTGTTTACATGATATGTAGAATATGTTAATAAACTTAATGAAAAATTTAAAATAAACGCGTATGAAATTTCCTTTCCTGTGTAATAAGATTAATAAGCAACATAAAATTAAAAGTTTATAAATTACAAAATAGGAAGCTATCAATTATTCAGCTGAAAAACGCAAATCTTAAAGTGAGTTTGTAAAGTTTACTATTTCTTTAGCTGTCGATATACTGGTTACCTAGTGTTACGCCAATATCGCTAAACTTAAAGGACGTTACACTTCTTCCTACAACACATCCCTATAAACTCCTTTGAAAATAAATAGAAAATTATGATTAACGAAATCTGATTTTACCTACAGAATTAATCTAGTCCCCTGAAAACAATTTTATTAGTTTTGAAAAAGAGTAGTTACATATTATGTGCACATATTATTTGAAGTGAGATATGGTACATATGTATGTATCAATATAAATAGCAGTAGTCTTAATTTTCAATATTACCCGAAAATTGCGAATTCAAATTGTACGCGTTCTTTAATATTCGGATAAGCAAATTAAATTCACACAAACATTTAAAATTCATATAATAACTAAATAAGAAAAAGCCAATTTATATAACACATACATAATGCCCCCTTTCTATATAGTTAAAGGATGCTTATCTACAAAAACAAAATTCCAATAATTTTATCGCAAGCTATATTTACTGTGCTGTTTTCAACACGGTAAATTGAAGCAGCTGCTTTGTACAACATGTATCTCGACATAAAAACTTATGTAATGACATTAAAATACCAAACGATTACCACTATATTAAGGTACGCGCGAAATATATGAAAGTAGAACATGTCATCAAAGAAAAAAAACTGTCAGTGTCAATCTTAAGCTAATAAAAGTTTACTATTTTTATATCGTGCAATTATTACTGCAATTTTATTATATTTAATTAAAATATTTTTAATTTTTTATAATGAAAACTAAGAAAAATGAAACGTCTTTTGTATGGACTCAAGAAAAAATTATTGATTTAATATCACAATACCAAAACAATGAATGTTTATGGAATGTTTTAACAGAAGATTACAAGAGCAGGTATAAATGAAAAAATGGCGCATTTTTAACTACATATGTAATTTGTAATTTTATTAAAGCCTCTTTGCGCAAACAGTATTAAAATAATTCAGAATATGTCAATATGTACAAACATATATGTATATAAATATATATATATACCTACATATACTATTTCAGAGAGAAAAGGGATATTGCTATATCATCAATATGTAGTTCTTTGAACATAACAAGAGAACAATTCAGCAAAAAAATACACAATTTAAGGAACCAGTTCAATTATGAAGCTAAAAAGGTTTCCCAAAGAAATGATAATGTAAAAAATTCTTATCGAAGCAAGTGGGAATATTATGAAAAGTTGTTATTTTTGAAAAACGTAATATCTCCTAGACCAGGACCTAACTATGGCTTGTGTGTATGTATCCGAAAACTTAAAAACCAAATTTATTTTATTTAAGTTTGTCATATCGTTTCAGTATGATGAAGTACAAAATACTAATAATGGAGATTATATTAGTATAGATTCTTTTAAAGCTGATAAATCTCAACCAGATGTCGTTCATATATTAGAGGCTAAACCAGGACTAGAACATAATGTTGTTATTTATCAAGAAACAACTTCGCAACGTGGAAACCATTCTGCAGATTCTTCAATAATATCAAATAGCAGTAAAACATATCCGATAGCAATACAACGAGCTATAAGTATGCATGAGTCGCAAGATAAATCACATGATTTTTCCCAACATACTGTAAGTAAAAATGAAAATCAGTCTCAAAGTAAAACGGGTAAAAGTGAAAAACGTCAAGAAATTGGTACAAGAAGTAAAAAAAAGCAGTTAGCATCACCATCCATTCGTGAAACACCACCTCAACCAGAAAATGAAGATCACGAAACACAAACTTTTGAAATTTCAAGAGCCGAATCCCCAACTCCAAAAAAAATTATGAAGCGAAACTCCAATTTTGGGAGCTCAAATAAAATTGTTCAACAGTACCATCCCCATCAATATAATAATTGTAAAAATGAAATACAACTAAATCAATCTTCGCAAAGGGATGAATATGATTTATTTGGAGAATTTGTTGCCAATGAGCTAAGAAATTTAAATCACGATAGTTCTAGAAAAAAATTGAAGCGAAGAATAATGAAAGCTATGCTTGATACAGCTAATGAAGATGATGATTCTACAGACTAATAAACTGTGGAATGCTATTTAAATTATATATGTACATACATATGTATATGTTGATTTTTGTCTATTTCAAAAACAAATCATACAGGAGTTTCAAAGTTTATTTTAATAAAAGGGAATGTAGCAGCTATAATTTCTGGAAATTTGTCGTATGGAAGTTTTTCAAATTCTCCAATGTTTTGTTTTTTGTAATAATGTAAAAACAGTAAGGCATCCCTATATTGACAATATCAAAAATACGTAGGAAACCTAATTAACACTTTTTACCTGAAGTTCTTTTTGAGACAATAAAATATTGCGCTGCAAGTCATTCAATATTGGCTATTTCCAAATTCACACTTTGATGATTCAAATATAAAAATGTACCAGGTACATTATTGAAAATAAATTAGATTTTCTTTTAAATAAATTTTGACTAATATAAAAAGTTGTTTTATTTTTTGTTCTAAAATCGAATCATTTAATCCCGGTAAAAAAAGGGGCAGGTAGAAAAATTGGATTTTGTAAGGAACAAAATTCTTCTCTTTTAATGTAAACAGAGCTCAGGAGGACAAAATTGTTTTGATTGAAAATTAATGATTGTCATCCGTATGGAAACTGTGTTTTAAATCTTTAATATTACATATGACAAACGCTACGGCACTTTCATAGACACATCTTTATATTATAATTAACTGTAAGGAACTCGTTTATTAAAAATACTATAAAATGTTTTTCAAGATTTTATTTCTGGTTGCTCGTTTTTTACATGTTGGAATTGAGCTGAAATCCTAAACTAGTTTCATTTTATTTAACTTCCTTTACTTGTAAACCTGGTGGTAATGATTGTTTTAGTTTCTCTGCCTTCTCTTTGTCAAATACAACTAAGGTATACAAAAATCGTGAGCAACGAATTTTGAATTTTGTGTTATTTGGATTTTTCTTAATTTTTACAGCACGCGCATCTTTCCTGCGAGCCTTTATCAAAAAATCTTTGACTTCTTTTATTTCACGGGGCATCTACAAAACAGTAATTTTGTCATTTTAAAAGCACAAACAATATTGTATGTAAAAAAATTTAATTAAAACAGTATTCTTACCTTGATTTATTAAAAAAAAAATTATTTTTCCCAAAAACTCAACTTTAGTTGACGTCTTTCAGGCAAGGAAAGAAAGAAAGGAAGGAAAATAGTGCTACCAATGTATATAGAAATTAAACATTTCCGGTATAAATTGTCAAAATTCTATAAAAATCGATTCATGAAAAATCGAAAAATCCAAAACGTTCTGGGATATCTAGAGGTTTTTTTTAACTACAAATTAACAAATTATTTTTATAAAAAAAATCAAAATTTGTTTCAATTTTCGATTCCCCTAAGCGTTAAATTTGTGACTAAATGCTTTTACCTAATGTATTCCTTGAATGGTATTGTGAAAAAAGTCAATCAAAATTTTTAGATTATTTTATTCATTTCTAATATATTTTTAAAATCCATTAATTTATATTAATGATTTTGAAATTTGAGAAATAAATCAGAAAATTATTCGATAAATTTTGGGTAAATTATTGAATATTAAACTCTGTGTCATTTAATTTGTTTTTATAAATATAACATCTAATGGTCATATGGTGTTATTGTGAGTACAAATGGCAACTCTTATTTGTGATTAGAATTTTTTTTAATTGACATTTCATTTTATGTAAATCGTAAACAAAACAAATTGTTGAGCGATGAACTGTCCAAAACACGTTTGTTATTTTAGTTGATATATTAAAACATTTTAGTTATTGTACTATGGAGGCAAGCACTGGAAAAAATATTTTGAATAAGATAAAATTTAAATGCAGGTAATTGGAATGATAACTAAAATTATAAAAAGAAATAAAACAAATCACTTAATCTGTTTTCTATTTTATAGTGTCAGTTCTGTATTAAACAAGGATGTTAAACAAAATGGGAAAAATTTCATGTTTGATTCGATTGATGAGACGGCTTGGAGTTCAGAACAAGTAAATTATATTATTAGAAAAATATTTTTATGTAATGTCATTTTGACCTAATTCATTTTAGGGGAACTCACAATGGATAAATATACTTTTTGAAGAACCGCAAGATGTTAAATATTTTAATATACAATTTCAGGGTGGTTTTGCTGGTAAAGATTTAAAAGTAGACGTTGAAAACATTGACAATACTCTTATTCATTCCCAAGAATTTTACCCGGAAGACATTAATTCAATTCAAAAATTTGAGTTTAATAATAAAATTGAAAAAGCTAGTAAAATTAAATTTAAGTTTAATTCTAGTTATGATTTTTTTTGTAGAATTATAATATATAAGTTAGAAATATATAGCTGATTTTTATAATGTTATCACAAGTTTTTTCAATAATAAATAACAATCTCCAAGCTCTAAACAAGGAGAAATTTAAAAAGGAAGTTCGTTTTCTATGTCGGTATGTACATAAATGTAATATACATACGTACGAAGATACAACAGTTTAGGTTTATAGTATTTATCTACGGTATAAATGCGGTTCCATTTCATTACCGTTCCAAAGTTCATAATCTTACATTGTAAAAGAATGGTTATATTTTAACAAGTTCTTAAATAGGGCTTGATTATGTACCTTGCCTTTTAAGTCGGCGTGAACGCCATAATAATATGTTAGTATAATGCATTTTTCAAGTGAGAATTTTATACACCGGTGTGAAATAAAATTGAAAAATCTCTTATTACGTTTACTTAATCTAGCTCAAAATTTAAATTCTAAATTGTAAAATAAATTAAGTTTCGGGAATCCATTTTGGAAATATCTAAAAAAATGTATTTCTAAAAAAAAGTTAATTGGTTAAATATGAAAATAATTTATTAAAATGAAAAATCGTATAAATAAAATATCAGTAAGAATAATTTTAACAACAGGGAGATATTTTATAAGAAGTGATGAAATCTAATTATTTTTTGGCCATATAAATCTCTTCAGAAATAATAACTTTCAAATGTAAATGTAATCTAGCACACATTGTAAATTATTAAATTATAAAATAATGGTACGTGGTTTACAAAATTTCTCCTAAAGGGTTAAAATAAACCAAATTTTTTGTTGTCATATAAATGTCACATCAATTTGTCATTTAATTCAATTGTCAAATTTGTTTTCGCGAATGCCATTTTGCCAAATTCATTTTTTTTTTAAATATGAAGAAAAAAAATTATTAAATACTTTGACAGTTCTATTTTGAACGTAGGTAAATGTGGTGTTTCTAAAGGGAATTTTTATTTATAATTTATCTGTGCATTTGTTATGTGAAAAAAAAAAATTTAAATAATTTTAATTAAAAATGACAATTGTTGCTATAAAAATTAAAAAAAATATATCTATAATTAGTTTATTTCATTACAAAAACAAATAGTAAAAAGATTTTTGGCATTTTATAAATAACTAGCTATCTAATTTTACAAAAAAAAAAAATCTAAAATTTTAAATATAAAAATTTAGTAATACAATCTACACAAATTGGATATTCTTAGCAGTGTTAAAATTTTTTGATAAAAAATTTTTTGTTTATAATTCACAAATAAACAACAAAATAATTGCCATTTATTAAAACGGTAAGTATCCAAATAATAAGGCATAGCTTTCAATCCACTTTCTTGTTTCAATTGAAAAAAAAAATAAATTTTCTTGCCACCCGCCAAGCCAATCCATAATATACAATATGTATGTACATAATATATGTACATATATTTAAATAATATAAGTATTAATAAGAATACTACAAAATATAATAATAATTATGAGAGAGTTTTAAGAAAAGCATGAATGGTTATACGAAAAGTTGAACTTTGGAACTTAAATACTTATTTTTCAAAGTAGAAACATACATACATATGTATATGTATGTAAAGTTGCTATAAGTTCAGATGTAGATACGTAGATTAGGTATGTAAACCTGCATTTATATAATATAATAAAGGAAGAATGTATATAAATTTATTTAAATTATATAAATTTCACCTGTATTTCAAAAACATATTTACGTACGTACCTGCCAATCAGCTTATCCTACATAAGAAACTGAAGAAAGTGAAAAGCTTCCAAATAAACAGTTCTTTAAATCACTTTTAATAAAACGGTTTGACATGAATCTACAATATTGTTATCATCTAAAACTTTTAATAAGGAATAAAAATTAAGTTCGTTTTTTTTTTTTTGGAAACTTATCTGAAAACCACAAAATCACTTTGGCCCTGTAAAAACTAGTTTTTTTTTTCATAATCTGTTTATCCGCAACACACTTGTATGCACATCAAATTGATAAATTATAATATTGAGAAATAACAAAATTTATACAAAATCTATGTCATAATGAAATTTAGTCGCTTGAAATTTCCTGCTAGCAACTTTCATTACCTAGGTTTCAAGAAATAGCTGACCAAGTAAATTACCTGCATTCACAAATGGCATAATATCAGAATAATATAAGAATATTATTTTTCGATCTAAAATACTATAAATTTCAAATTAATAATAAATTATTAAAAAACAAAATTACTGTTTAATGAATGTCTTTAATTATCTTCCATAGTAAGTAAATTGCTTTTTGGCGGTAATAAAAACATAATAATTTAAAATAAATTCAATATTTATAAGAATAAGTATCTAGCATATGCATTTTAGTATTAATGCAGGAGAGAGCATAATTCTATATAAATACTTGTATACTTAAATATTTAGAATTACATATACAAGATTATATAACTCATAATATACAGAGTAAATTTATTTATTTTGCATTCTATTTTAGGTCAAAGAACTTATTTTCTGTTCGTTTCTAAAAATAAATCGTTTTATTCTTTTACTCGTATCATACTAAATATGAATATGCTAAATTATTATTCATTATAATCATTATTCACATGAATTGCATTAAAATATAAAAAGCACAAAGAAAAAATATGAAAATAATTATAAATAAATAAAATATAAATAAAATTTGAATTTCTAATATTTTTTTTTATTAAAATTTTCTTTTTAAAATCTAGACAAAATCAAAACTTTTACAATATTTTCTAAAACACTGAAATCAAAATTTAAAAAATTCTCATGAAAAATGAATAAATTAATCTGAAATATTCGATTAATAAATTAATTTATGTTTTAATTTAATAAAATATGAAAAAATTTTGTTTTCATTTACAAGTACCTACTGTTTAATTAATTCAAAATTAAAAATTGATTAATTTAATTTCGGCCATATAATTTAATATAAAATAAGGTTTAGATTGTAATTATGCCCTAAGTACGGTATTGCTGTCCATATTTTAGATACTTAAGAACCATATTTTATTCTAAAATTTTTAGAAGGTTGGACAACACTGCCCTATATTGCTTCAAACTTAATATTAGCTCATATTTTTTTTAGTAATAGTAAATAAAAACTTTCGTGATTTAGCAACTTCTAACTATAATAATTACTTAAGTATTACTTGAGTATTAATTAGTATGTGTACCTTACCTACTTACTTATCTTTGTTACACTGTTTTAAAAATTATATGAATCTATTTTTTAATTACATTTTTTTTTTCAGCATTTCTTTAAGATTTCATAGATTATTTAGTAATTATGTAACACATTATATCGTAGATAAAAATCGTAGCCTTCATTAAATCTCTTACTCTATTATCAGGGTCTTTTTTTTTTATTTTTAAATAGTAATTAATTATTAGTAGCTATAGGTATTATTATTTAAAAAAGAAATTTGAAAAAATTTTATAAAATAAACCTTGTAAATAATGCAATAAATGTATAACATAAAAATATCAAAATACACAAATACTTAATAGAAGAAATAACTGTTATTACGAGCCTCTATAGCTCTTAAAATGTTAGTTATAAAAATGGTAAATAAATATTTCGTACCTATAGAGAAAAAATAAAAAGGAATAAAAATAAAGTAGGTTAAAATTTGAAAGTTTTGGTAATCATGAAATTGGAAGGCAAATATATATATATATATATACGTTACAAATTGCATATAGGTAGATGAGTAGTGGGAGTTAAATAAATTTTAACATGATATTTTTTATACTTATGCATATATATGTAATAATGTGCGTACAATTGTTGATTATAAATATAGGTAATATTAAATAACATTATTTGCTGTTCAAGGTAGTTGTAATAAAACAGAAATAAGAAATTTTTTTTCTTTATTGAAACCACAAAAAAGAAAAGCTTATAAAGTAATTTATTTTTTTTTAGCATTTGTTTGTACAAATATTTTATTATATATTAACAAATTCCATTTATTCAATATTTTTACATTTCGCTTATAGTTTATTAATACAATTTTAGTTTGAATTGGTTATAAAAATGAATGTAAACAATTTTATTTACTCTTATTTCAAATTTATTTAAAAATTTATTTAAAGAAAATAAAAATTCTTTTTGAATAAAATGAAAATATATAATTAATATTATTAATTTAATCAATGTTTACTTAATTAAAATTAGTATATTAAAATTTTTACATATTTGGTTTTAATTTAAATTTTGTATGTACACTTGTATAATTTGTGTACTTATATATGTATATAATAATTAAAATAAATAAAACAATTGAATTCGAATAATTATTTAACTTCAATTGAGCATTGTAATATTTAATTGAGGACTTTCAAATAGCCTCTTTTAATATATACTTAATCTTCAAAAACTATTAAAGACAATTATTGTTATTTTTTTTTTAAATATTTTACAAATATATAAAGAAGCCGTGATTAAATGAAACCCGAAAATACATTATTAAATAGTTTATTTTTTTAATTTTAGTAAACTAAATATTTTATATAATTAGAATTATAAATGAATGTTAAAGTTATTAAAAATATGGAAAGAGAAAGATAGAATAATACAAAAGATATATGATACAGATAGAATAAAAGAGAGTGATAGAATAAATGATAGCGCCTGCTTTAGAATAAATGATAGCGACTGAGAAAGATAGAATAAGTATAGCGAGTGCTTTCTTCAGGATTCACCCTAATTATAAATAAAATAAGGTATTTAATTCCAAAAATATCTAAAAGAAAATTAAAAGCAAAATATTGTTCTAGAAAAGATTTTTTTTTTAATAAAAATGCATTTCATAATAAAAATTAACTTAAGCATCATATGGTTTCCTGTCAGTTTAGTCTATTAAATATAATTTAGATTTATATAGGATGAAATATTTAAGAATTATCAATTTAATATAATTCTACATATGGAACTAAAGGGTTAATATTCTATTTTGCCCCCTAAATTTCATAATAAGGGTTATTACAAGTAATTCTTACATTGAATTAAATTTTGTAATCAAAGTGAATTGAAAACCTTATAGTGATTAAAAAAAAAATAATTACGCTACATAACTATTTACGTAATTAATTAATAATTTAATTATCTATTTATTATTTATTTTTTTTTTTAACATAATATATAATTAAGTCCTTAAAAATGATTGACATATTATTATGAAAAAGACCATGTAATATGATTAAATATTAATTTTAAAAACTTTCATCAATAATATAAAACTTTTATTATTTAAATAATTTTTATTTTCTAATTCATTTAAATTGATAATGAAACGAGATATGATTATTTTTATTTAATTACAGCGATTATATTATATTTATATACGTATACGTGTAAAGTAATCTATACGGAGTAGAAAAAATAAAGCGGGAATGAAGCATTTTGTGAAGAAATGTGATTTACAAAATCAATTCTCCATCTCTTGTGTAGTGCATATAATTATTAAAATAATATTTCTGAAATAGAAATTAACACTTTTTGAGTGTTTTAATTGAATTTCCGAAAAAAAAATTAGGTCACAATAGATGTAAATCTTAATTTAGATGAAAAATTGAACGAAATTAACGAAATTCAGATAATTAGTTTCAGAAATCAAAGGTGAAGTGGTTGTTAGATTGAAAACGAAAGAATTGTTTAAGTTCTTGGACTTTTAAAAAATGTATCACATTCTATTCCTAATTTTTTGCAGCAATTCACAATGATATTCACAATAAAAGGGAAGATCCCATTTGGTTTAATTTTTAAGTATGTACAATACAAATTTATCACCCAAAATTTTACCCAAAAAAGTTTTTATAAAAAATTTTTTTAACTAAATCAATTTAAAAACAACTATAACTACTTATTGTAGTTTTTTATTTTCGGTCAAAGTCCTATTTATTTTATTTTTTATTATAAAATTTGTGGTCGGATTGTAAATTTTGATTAAAATGCTTAAAATAAATATAAAGATGCTTTAAATTTAACAAATACTTATAAACATTAAAATTTTTGACTTCATATTCAAAATTAAACTTTGAAAAATTTTAGTTTTTTTTAATTTTTTTTTCTTGACTTTTGGAATATGTCATGTTATAGAAATTCAAAAAAGAAGAACACTTGTTATTATCACTAATTTAATGAAAAAAGTGTGATAATAGGCAGCAAGAGAAAATAAAAAACTAGTTTGAATAAGAAAGAATAATAGTTTTTAAAGTAGCACTTTTCCCTAAGCGCAAGTGAAAATACTCTTTTAAAAAAATAATTGTT